AGCCAGAGTACTTGGTGTCATTCTGGACTCCAACCTACCCTTCCAGCCCCAAGTCCAATCTTTAACAAACTCATGCAGACTCCACCTCCGCAACATCGCCAAAATATGCACGTTCCTAACCCCAGAAAACACTAAACACTAAACAGCTCATCCACTCCCTCATCATATCACGACTCGACTACTGCAACTCCCTCCTCACTGGCCTGCCTCACCGCTGGCTATCCCCGCTTCAGTCCATCCTGAATACGGCTTCCAGACTCATTCACCTTTCCAACCGCTCCGTTTCCGCCACCCCCCTCTGCCAATCCCTCCACTGGCTTCCGATTGCGCAACGGATCAAATTCAAAATCCTAACACTGACGTACAAAGCTGTCCACCATACTGCCCCGAACTACATCACTGACCTAATATCCAAGTACCGCCCAGCACGCACACTCCACTCCTCACAAGACCTCCTTCTCTCTAGTTACCTGGTCTCCTCCTCCATTGCCCACATCCAGGACTTCTCCAGAGTGTCACCCATCCTCTGGAACTCCCTACCCCAACCCATCAGATTATCACCTACTCTCCTCTCCTTTAGGCGCACCCTGAAAACCCATCTCTTCAGGGAAGCCTACCCCACCCCCTGCTAACTTGCCGACCTTCTCCACTCTTCCTACCACTCCATCCCCCACAGCTATCTCCTCCTGTGCCACCACCCCCTTCCTCCTAGATTGTAAGCTCGAAAGAGCAGGGCCCTCAATCCCCTCATGTTTTGCATTGTATTGGTATTGTTCTGTCACATGTTCTGTCCCCTTTGTAATGTACAGCGCTGAGCGAACTATTGGCGCTTTATAAATACTGTATAATAATAATAATAATAATAATAGTGCAGAGCTTTATATAGTCCTAAAATGGTGCCAAAACACCGGTGTCTCGCCAGTACCACGTCATGATGATGTCGCTGCATGCATGGACTGTTTTACATAGGATGTGGTACCTTGAAAAATCTAGTAGTTTATCTTCTGGTAAGGAATTGGGTTATATTTCCGTGTCGTTGATAGGATGATGGAAGTCAGTAGAGCTTCCCCTCATTTACTAAGCTCTGGTGCAACTGCACTTGTAAAGTGCACAGTCTATTTGCCTTTAGTCAATTCACTCCATATATATGTTGTTTTTTACTGGGTAAAGGGGGATGGGTTTGGAGCAAACACATCTTTCTTTTGGTGTTTATGTCCTCCAATAATTTCTAGATGTTCTGTTCAAATAAAAGAAGTCAAATAAATACACTTTTTTCCAGTTTAACCAGATATATTTTAATACCTTTATTGAAAATAATGCATAGAATTACATATACTAATCTGTTACTGTGCAGTCTTACCTTTCAAAATCCCATGTTTACATGATTTAAAAACAACAGGTATAGCTATAGCTAAAGTGTTACCTTTATTTTGTAATTTGTCCCATTTATCTTGACATTTCTGATACAAAGTGTTGCAAAGTTATTCAAAAAATATCGACATTGACCTCTTTCCTAGACTTGCTCTGTTTGCTGATTTGGTCTCATGCTGCTGCCTGGCTGTTACTGACTTTGGCCTTCTCTCCATTTTTCTCCACTATCCTCTGTTCTGGTGTTAGGCTATTCCTTTGTCATGAGGACTGTGGCTTCTAGTTCTACCCACCTGCAATGTGGATACCACCAACCAGCTACCATGGCACTCCATGCCTTCACACTGTCTGTCTACACCTTCAGGAATGTTGGGCAGGGATGCAAGAGAAGCCCCCACAACATTCCAGTCTCTGCTAGGTACATGATACCTACTTTTTTTTTCTACTTTTAGGGTTTCTTCAGCAACTCCTTAAAAAAACAGAAGTTTCTCATTTCACATAGCTTTAACACAAGAATATTAATTGGTATTATGATTACAGATGAGCGAATCGAACTTGGCGAAGTGGAATTCGTTTCGAATATTAGGAAAAATTCGATTCGCGTTGAATCTGAAATTTAGCAAACTTCGGATGCACGAATCGAATTTTTCCCGATCGGCCGATTTTCATCCCTTCTACAGCCAGCAAAAAGTGTCCCTGCAGAGAGCTCCGCTATTTCTGACAGTTCTCTGACAGTTCCTTCACATTTACAGCGGTTGAAACATTGTATCTATTTGTTTCCATTTAGGATACAGATGTTTTTATTCGGAAACAAATAGATACAATGTTTCAACCGCTGTAAATGTGAAGGAACTGTCAGAGATCTGTCAGAAATAGCGGAGCTCTCTGCAGATACACTTTTTGCTGTACTGGAATTCTTCTTATTTTCATCCTACTTCTTCTTCTTCTTCTTCTTCATCCTCATCCTCATCCTCATCCTCTTCTTCTTCTTATTCTTCTTCATCCTCATCCTCTTCTTCTTCTTCTTCTTCTTTCTTCTTCATCCTCATCCTCTTCCTCTTCCTCTTCTTCTTCTTCTTCTTCATCCTCATCCTCTTCTTCATCCTCATTCTCTTCTTCTTCATCCTCTTCTTTTTCATCCTCATCCTCTTCTTCTTCATCATCCTCATCCTCTTCTTCTTCTTCGTCCTCATCCTTCTTCTTCTTCTTCTTCTTCTTCTTCATCATCCTCATCCTTTTCTTCTTCTTCTTCCTCACCATCATCCTCTTCTTCTTCTTCATCCTCATCCTCTTCTTCATCCTCATCCTCTTCTTCTTCTTCTTCTTCATCCTCTCATCTCTTCTTCTTCTTCTTCTTCTTCTTCTTCATCCTCATCTTCTTCTTCTTCTTCTTCCTCATCCTCATCCTCTTCTTCTTCTTCTTCTTCTTCTTCATCCTCATCTTCTTCTTCTTCTTCTTCTTCTTCTTCTTCCTCATCTTCTTCTTCTTCTTCTTCATCCTCATCTTCTTCTTTCTTCTTCCTCATCATCTTCTTCTTCTTCTTCATCCTCATCTTCTTCTTCTTCTTCATTCTCATCTCCTTCTTCTTCTTCTTCTTCTTCTTCTTCTTCATCTTCTTCTTCTTCTTCATCATCTTCTTCTTCATCTTCTTCTTCTTCTTCTTCATCTTCTTCTTTCTTCTTTATCTTCTTCTTCTTCTTCTTCTTCATCTCATCTCATCTTCTTCTTCTTCTTCTTCATCCTCATCCTCTTCTTCTTCTTCCTTCATCTCCTCTTCTTCTTCTTCTTCTTCTTCTTCTTCTTCTTCTTCTTCATCTTCTTCTTCTTCTTCTTCTTCTTCTTCTTCTTCATCCTCTTCTTCTTCATCTTCTTCTTCTTCATCTTCTTCTTCTTTTTCTTCTTCATCTTCTTCTTCATCTTCTTCTTCTTCTTCTTTTTCATTCTTCTTCTTCTTCATCTTCTTCTTCTTCATCTTCTTCTTCTTCTTCTTCTTCTTCTTCATCTACTTCTTCTTCATCATCTTCTTCTTCATCATCTTCTTCTTCATCATCTTCTTCATCATCATCTTCTTCATCATCATCTTCTTCATCATCTTCTTCTTCATCTTCTTCTTCTTCATCTTCTTCTTCTTCTTCTTCATCTTCTTCATCTTCTTCTTCTTCTTCTTCATCTTCTTCTTCTTCTTCATCTTCTTCTTCCTCTTCATCTTCTTCTTCATCATCTTCTTCTTCATCTTCTTCGTCGTGCCCCGTGACTGCCCAAATGAGTGAAGTGTGCGGTGATTCTAAGATCGACGGCACTCATCTGCATGTCATACTGACTGACAGTATTATTTCTCTTCCCCAGCAGACTCCAAGGGCATTTAAATTAAAGGTACAATGTTCTGCACTAATATAAAGGCTCTCTGAAGCCTAGAAACCCTTTTAATAAGTTAAATTCGCAGCGAATAAATTCGCATCGAATCAAATTTATTCCGGAAATTTGGCGAATCAGCCGAATCGAATTTTTGAATAATTCGCTCATCTCTAATTATGATCATGTGGCTGTAATATTTTAAATCTCACTGGACTCAGTAGACTGTCATCTGTCAGTGTCAGGCGTTATGGCCGGCAAGATGGATGACACTGACAGGTGACAGATCTGCAGGACTATATCCAAGAAGACAGATATCCAGGACTGCACACTATGCTGTTCACCGTGGAGGATTCCTATTGATGGATACTGAAGTGCCTTTTTTATCTACTCTCCTGTAAGTTGCTGTCTTTTATGTGCAATAAACTAAGTTTCCAGATTACGTCTTTCTTCTTTTTTTTCTTACATGTACCCCTCTGGACTAATCCAGTGAAAGGCAGTCATAAGTGAACAGAACTCTATCCACCTGCTGGTTACATACTTGTCATCTGTTTGACAGAATATCCCTTATCTCTTTGCCTCAACTACAACCCAATTGGGTCCCATTTATTAAGGTATTGATACATACATTGTTTTTTATACCTTGATGTTTTCTTGCCTTTTACTCATAGTTATAGTGCCACCTCCAGATTGAATACAGGTTGCACTTTTTCCTTAGTTTTTTTCCTAACCACTAGCCTACAGGGCACTTATACCCCCCTTCCTCCCAGGCCAATTTCCAGCTTTCAGTGCTGTCACACTTTGAATAACAATTGCGTGGTCATGCTACACTGTATCCATATGAAATTTTCATAATTTTTTTTGTGACAGATAGAGCTTTATTTTGGTGGTATTTAATCACCTCTGGGTTTTTTATTTTTTCTTAAACAAAGCAAAAAAACACTGAAAATTTTGAAAAAAAAAGTTTTTTCTTAGTTTTTGTTATAAAATTTTGTAAATAAGTGATTTTTTCTCCTTCACTGATGTTCTCTAATGAGGCTGTAGTGATGGGCACTGATAGGCTGCACTGATGAACACTGATAAGTGGCACTGATGGGCACTGATGAGGAGGCAAAGGTAGGTGGCACTGATGGGTATTGACAGGCATCACTGATGGGCACTGAAAGGCAGCACTCATATATGGCACTGATAGGCGGCACTGATAGGCAGCACCGATAGGCAACACTGACTGGCACTGATAGGTGGCACTGACTGGCACTGTTAGGTGACACTGACTGGCACTGTTAGGCAGCACTGATAGGCAGCACTGACGGGCACTGGTAGGCGGCACTGATGCACACTGATAGGCAGCACTGACTGGCACTGATAGGTGGCACTGACTGGCACTGATAGGTGGCACTGATTGGCAGCACTGATAGGTGGCACTGACTGGCATTGATAGGTGGCACTGATTGGCACTGATGGGTGACACTGAAAGGCAGCTCAGATGGGCACTGATATGTGGCACTGATGGGCACTGGCAGGTGGAATGGATGAGCACTGACAGCTGGCACTGATGGACACTGACAGTTGGCACTGCTGGGTATACACAGATCATCAGGGCACACTGATCATCAGTGCCCTGATGATCAGTGTACATGTCCCCTCCGAGGAATGCCAATTACCGGCTCTCCTCTCCTCTGTAAGCGTGACAGCTCGTGAGGAGAGAAATGCCAATAACTGGGATTTCCCTATTTACATGTGATCAGCTGTGATTGGACACAGCTGATCACATGACCGAGCCGATATCTTCGGCTCTTTCCATTGATCGGTGATCCGCTGTGTCCGAGGGACACAGTGCACCGCCGATCGTAGCGCTGCGTGCTCCCGGAGCCGCGCATGCGTGGTTAGAATGGGAGGACGTCATATGATGTCCTCCCAGAACGAGAGAACCACCTTGCGCCTGTCATTGTACTATATGCCGGGCAGGAGGCGGTTAAAAGAAGACAACAACTGTCACAGAAGAATGTTTGTAGATCACTGCGAGTAAAACAGTATTGCATTATTTGTTTGTAAATAATTCAGTTTTATCATTATAATGTTAAAGTTTTCTCTACCTGCACTGTGCACATCCTGTAGATTCTTTGTATGAACCACCTGTGGCAATATGCAAGGTGAAGCAATGGCTAAACATTGGAATTTTACTGTGGTGAATACAACAGGACATGCCATAATAGTGTACATTGGCACGGCTGCTTGTAGTCCAGCTCAGTAAACATTGTCATCCTAGGAAGGGAACTACCTGTAGATGCACCTTGCTTGTATAACTGAATTGAAAGCAGGACATAAAAAAAGGTAAAACTTTTTTACACTGACATATGGTGACCAGTTTAAGAGCTACTAAGTGCAGTGCATCAATATCTGAGAGAATAAGTCACTATCTGTTTCAGTAAGCTTCAGTATTGTACCTGTGTAGCATCCTCCTAGTTAGGTGCCTGGATTTGTATAGGTAGGATGAGAATAGCTGTGTTACTCTGCTTAAAAAAAGAGACTGTTAGGAAAATCTAATTGGGTTCTCTGCTTATCAGAGTGCTGTGATAGATTAGTCGGGTCTGCTCATGATGCTCTGGTGCTGTTTGAGTTTGTCAGAGTTCTGCTTGCCTTCAAGAAGCTATGAGATATTTCCAGAACATGGGTAGGGGCATTCTGGGAGTGGTATTTATGTTCTGTGAGCACATGGGTTCAACATATTTTCCCAGGAGAAGATTGAACCAAGCCAGGCTGGAAGCAGGCTTGCCTCACCTCGCCTCACCTGGCCATCTATAGCTGGCTTAGGTTGTTATTTCCATTTTAGTGTCATCTAGCTATGTTTTTGAGAAGAACATATAAAGTTTCACATTGGAAGAAATGCGAGCAGCAATTGCTATGTGTGCTCTGACCAAGGACTCTATCTTGACTATTGCAAAAGATAGTATCAACCACTAGAACTTATTGGAGTCCCTGATTTAAAGTTAAGTAACAATTAACTATGTACAGTTTATTATTGTTATATTCTTAAATTAGGGTAAATATATACCAAGCAGCCATAACATGGTGACCAACCACCTAATTTTCAGTAGGTTCGCCATGAATGTCAGGGCCTAATATTTCCCAGCAGAGCAATACTCAAAGCATCACACCACCTCCACCGGCTTTCCTTCTTCCCATCTCTGCCTGAGGTAAGCGACGCACATGCACCTGGCCATCCACATGATGCTAAAGAAAATGTGATTCATCAGACCAAGCCACCTTCTTCCTTTGCTCTTTGGTCAGGTTCTGCTGCTTAAGTACCCATTGTAGATCCTTTTGCTGTGGACATGGGCCAGCATGGGCACCCTGACTGGTCTGTGGCTATGCAGCCCCGTCTTTCTGTCAGAACCAGCATTCACTTTTTTAGCAATTTGAACTACATTAGCTCTTCGATTGGATCGAACTACACGGGCCAGCTTTCAATCCCCATGTGGCCGCGCATGATCCTATCACTGGTTTTCCAGTTTTCCTTCCTTGGATTACTTTTGGAAGATCCTGACCTCTGCAGACCAGGGACATCCCACAAGAGCTACAGTTTTGGAGTTGCTTTGACCCAGTCATTTAGCCATTACAATTTGGCCCTTCTCAAAGCCTCTCAAATCCTTAAGCTTGGCCATTTTCTCAACTTTCTACACATCAACATAAGGGACAACATGCTCACTTACTGCCTCATATATTCCACCAACTTTCAGGTACCATTGCAATGAGATAATCAACGTTATTCACTTTGCCTGTCAGTAGTCAACATTTTACGGTCATAATTTTGTGGCTCTTCACTGTAAAGTTTAGATTAATTGCTTATGTATGCATGTGTATGGCTAAATGATTGGTTTCCTTTGGGTCTTTTAACCCTTTTCATTTCCAGAGCCCTTTTTAATTTTTTTGCACACATATTTAAATGGACATTTTAGGCCTGAAGATTAGGTGAAATCCTCAAACATTTTACAGGGGTTGGCCAAGAAAATGGAAACACTACCTGATTTGCAGGTGTGAAAGTGACAACATGTTTTGCCTTGAAAGTGGAAGAGATGTAATATTATTTTTCTTCCACTGTATGATGAGACACCTAGCTAACGGGTGGGAAGCCTGACTTTCATCATTCACTGCATGCGCTGCTATTAATCCAGGGTCATGTCAGAGCTTACTGAACTTCAAAGAAGGCAAATTGTTGGTGCCGCTTAGCTAATGCCTCTGTGACTGAAGTTGCCCATTAATTTGCCAGGTCGCAAGGTACAATATCAAAGGTTATAACAGCATGTACAGTTTCCAGGAAAACGTTGTCTGATAAGCATGAGCGTGGTTGACATGGTCAACTGACGGAAAGAGACAAAAGGAAAAAAAAAAAACAACTGCTGCAAAAGTGACTGCAAAGCTCGATCTCAGTCTTCACGTGTAGAAATCACATTTTAAAAGCTGGAAAGTTATAATATATTTTGCTTTTGCTTCTGGGCTTAGACTTTTTGACAGGAGCAATACATTGGAGGCTCTTTGGAGACCACACATATATTCAACTGAAGGGAGCATTATATTAAAAAACTTTGCAATGAAAAATGCTATGAATCATGTTGCACGCAGAGAAAAACAGTGAAGATCAGGGGGTGTGCAAGCTGTTCATGGATGGCTGTTGTGAAGGAGCTTGCTAAGTACATTTATATTTGGAATAGAGTTTGGTTCATGTTGCCTTGGACTGAGACTTCACCCTAAAGATATTTTAGTTTAATAAAGGACCGATGTTGGCAGTAGCTGTATTTTCTTGGCATTTCCTTTATGTTCTACATAAAAATCCAAAATGAAAAAGATAGAGCTGGAAAAGTAGATATTGAAGGAACAACTTGCAGTGGTTTCCAATTGTGTTTGTAGGATATTCCTAGCAAAATTGTGAATTTGGAGAACAGGTCATTAAAACTCCAAAACTTCCCATCTATGTACACAAGGCTGAACATTTGGATGAACAGTGCCCAACATTCATAAACAGATCTAATGATGCCCTAAGGACAAAGGCTGGAAGCCTGTAAATAGAAGTAGGGCATGTGCCACTGTTGCTTCTCATAAGCAAAACGTGTGAATCTGACCATTTTAAAAGGTGATGGCCAAGTGAATTAGACCATATCAAAACATGGCATTTGATCACCAAGAGACAGCTTTGTCTCAGTGTTTCTTATGGATTAGAGGACAACTGGCTTTAATCTGGAATTTTCCTTCCTTCAATTTTTTTTTCAGAGAACTGCCAAGGACACATTGCTAAATCTTAAAACCGTAGCACGTTTTTTAGTTTATAAAAACATTGCTAAACCTGTTTAACAGAACATTGAAACTTGTCCAGGGACAAAGTCTGATCACCCAGAATAAATGGGAGTATTAAGGGAATTTCTTTCCTCTCATATACAATATGGGGTTTTTTTAGTTTGCCCTTTTCTAGATAAAGAGACTCGAAGCTGCTGAGAAATGCTTGCTAGAGTTTAGTTTATGGTTTGTCATTTGTGAATGAGTAGCTAGTTTCTGATTGTTGTTATATTGAGGTGAAATGGCTATTTTGGTAATTTTTAGTAGGTTTTTTAAATTAAAATCTGGAATATAATTTTTAGCTACCAGAATTTAAAAGGTTAATTACATTTTCAGTGAGTTTTAGTTAGTAGCTGGGCTTCCTCTATTTAAATGATTATGAACTTGCTTAGCTAGTAAAGATATCCCCTTTAACACCTTTTTTTGTGTAAATGCCTATATTTCCTTGAAACTTACTGTACAAACCAAGGCAAATATTTAACCAAAGCAAAACAATCCACTTATATAGAATTTCCCCCATTATTTGTATTAAAGAAAGGGAAGTCTTTATCGTTCCTTTTTCTCTTGCAACTGTACTGTCTATATTCTCAGTATACAACACAGAATAAAGCCCTAATAGAGAAATATGAAAATATATTGTGATAGTCTACAATGTCACAGAGGGAGTGGCCTAAGACTAAGCTTTAAAAATGTTAAAAGGAGTAATAAAAAAAATTGCAGACCTTGAGATTGCTTATTAAAATGTAATGGTTTTGAGAGAAAAAAAAAGCCTGATTTGTGAACAAATCTTTTGGATATATTTTATTCAAGAGCCCCTTTAAACTTCAAATACTCTTTTTCAGTTATTATATTGCCATAAATATTATTAACAGCTCACATACTATAAAATGCTACGCTAATTTGTTCTCATGTAAGGTTACTTTGGGATCTAAACAAAATAATTAACATGATTCAGATTCATAGTCACTGCACACAGTTTTTTTTTTGTTATGAGTTATGAGTCTAATTTATAAAGCTCTATATACTTCAAGGTCAATTGAGAAAGTTATTCATTGATATGCTCATTAAAAAGCATACAGCATCCTGAAGCTTGCTTTCCACATCTTAAACAATATGTGTTATGCTGTATGAGAATACAGAGTGAATAAATACAGTAAAAGTCACGTGCACTTTAAATTTAACTAGTCGATATTATATCAATGGTGTAATTATTATTATTTACTATTAATAATATTAATAATAATAATAACCGTATACAAGTTGAATAATACATTTGACTTTTTAGCCATTTGGTGTATTCGCCATTAGTTGACCATACAATGTTAAAGTGATTGTAAAACTAATTGCAATCCGGGTCAATTCTGACATTTCTAAATGTGTAACACATAAATGTGTAGAGCTGCCCTCTTGAGGGCTGCTTGATTTGTTTTGGGTCCCCCTAAGCACTGCACAGCCAGGTAACACTCATTTTCAACATCTGCACACTTGTCAGTAAACAGTCCTTGAGCTG